TCCTTGTAATCTCATATTCATCTACCGTTCGGGTAGTTTCAGTGTAATTGCTTAATTACAGAATATAAATAAGTTCTTGAGTTGGATATTATTTCACTATTTTATATTTTATACACATTTTCAACCCTACCCAATATCCCTACAATATCCAAGGCTTGTGTTGGGCTTTCGGATCTTCGGGAACAAACCTCAACAAGTACAATTAATAAATTGATATTGCATTGAGTACAATTGACAAATCAAATAATTTCTATCAGTTACATAATTAATATGGCAACTAACATGGCTTGAGTTTATTACATATTTACATTCCATACTTAAGCCATACACGATTTTGTTTTAATAATGAAATGATACAATGCTAGAATTTTATTAATAATAAAATAACATTTTGTTGAAACTAATATCCATTACATTCCATATTTAAAATATGTTAAAATATGCTAACATATTGGAGTCATTTGTTCTTGCGAATCCATTGCTTTAAATGGACACTATTCATACATCTTTGATCAGTTTTCACTATTCATAAAATCTACATGGCTTGAAAAGTAAGTTTCAATTTTATACTATACGTCTTGTTCATTTTATAAATAAGAATTTATTTATTATTCACTCATCAAATAAGAAATTTCGATTTTATCCGTTTATTAGAACTAAACTATTTTATGAATAAAACCTATTTAGTTACGTTGCATTGAAGTGCTATATCTTTTATTTAAATACCTAAATTGGTACCGCTACTGTCATGAAAGAACCAGATTATTAGAAAATGTATAAAATTTATTTTCATCGTCCATTGAGAACTTTATATAACAATCCATAATAATAGTGTATTTGTTTGGTGGAGATTCCAATGTAGTGAGTCCGAGTGTATTTGTAGTTTTTTATTCTTGCTTTCTCATTATTCATTACAAATGGATCGTGATTTATCAAAAAACCATTTTAAATTAATTAATTTACTACGAGCTATTTGAAAAATATTCTGATAAATGAGTAAATGACTTCAATAAATATTAAACAATCACATATTATTATTACTATTACTATTACTATGACTATTACTATTACTATATATTACTATTGCTATTACTATTGCTATTGCTATTGCTATTGCTATTGCTATTGCTGTTACTGTTACTATTACTGTTACTGTTACTGTTACTGTTACTGTTACTGTTATTGTTACTGTTACTGTTACTGTTACTCTTACTGTTACTCTTACTGTTACTGTTACTGTTACTGTTACTGTTACTGTTACTGTTACTCTTACTCTTACTGTTACTGTTACTGTTACTGTTACTGTTAGGGCTGAGCATAATCCGGTCCGGACCGGAAAACCGGACCGAACCGGACCGGTCGGTCCAGACCGGACCCGGACCGGATAGTTACCGGTCCGGTCTTCGGTCCAAGGTATTTAGCGATTCCGGTTCCGGTCCGGTCCGGTCCAAAACCCGGAATATTCCGGTCCGGACCGGTTAGACCGGAATTAAATTATTATACATATAAATATATTAATATATATATACATAAATTTATATTTATATTTAATTTATATTTATATATGTATTTAAAATGTACACACATACACATACATAGTACATTAATTTACTTTTAAAAAGTACATTAATTAAATGATACAATAACTTATACATCAACTCAAGTTACATACATAATATTATTTACACATTTATACTAGTAAAATTATGTAGCATAAAAACATTAAGAGGTAGAATGGGGCATTGTATTTACTTATTTTTACTTGTTTTAACTATAATATATAGTTTGATTAATTGAATTTTTCTTTGTTAAATGAGCAAATCTATTGAGTCGAATCATTCACTAAATTAATCAAGCAAGGAACATTAGTTTCCCGCACTAATTCACTAAAATTTTTTTGACTAGGCGTAGTTCATGTGTTTATTTCGACTTATTTGAAGTATTATAATGTATATTATATTGATTAAAAGAGACATAGAAACCATACATATAAAAGAATACATTAGAAATAATCACTTATAAACATCATAAAATAATACTCCGTAATAAAAACAATGAGGTAATAGGTACATTTTTGGACAATCAAACCTATTTTTAAAAAGATGAAACATTATAAAAAAAAAAAATTAAAAATCCGGTCCAATACCGGTCCGGACCGGAAAAACCGGAATAATCCGGTCCGGTCCGGTCCTGGACCGGAATTATATAGGTCCGGTCTTCGGTCCACTTTTTTTGTGAATTCCGGTTCCGGTCCAACCGGTTCCTGTCCGGTCCGGTCCGGTCTTGGACCGGTGCTCAGCCCTAGTTACTGTTACTGTTACTGTTACTGTTACTGTTACTGTTACTGTTACTGTTACTGTTACTGTTACTGTTACTGTTACTGTTACTGTTACTGTTACTGTTACTGTTACTGTTACTGTTACTGTTACTGTTACTGTTACTATTACTATTACTATTAGTATTAGTATTACTATTAGTATTAGAAATAATTACATAAACATGACCAAAATAAAAATGATTTACAAAAATATGATTCATTACTAGAGTAGTAATGAAATCATAGTAATTCATATTCAAGTTTTGAACTTTAGTTACCACAGCACTACATTGTAGTAATGAATAGTCGTATTTATGTAAATAAGTTTTATTTTAGTAATATTCTCGTAAAAAACCCTTAGTATTACTATTAGTATTACTATTATTATTACTATTATTATTACTATTATTATAAGTATTATTAGTATTAGTATTATTAGTATTAGTATTAGTATTAGTATTATTAGTATTATTAGTATTAGTATTATGAGTATTATTATTAGTATTATTATTAGTATTATTATTAGTATTATTAGTATTATTATTAGTATTATTATTATAATTATTATTATAATTATTATTATAATTATTATTATTAGTATTATTATTAGTATTATTATTAGTATTATTAGTATTATTATTAGTATTATTATTATAATTATTATTATAATTATTATTATAATTATTATTATTAGTATTATTATTATTAGTATTATTATTAGTATTATTATTATTATTATTATTATTATTATTATTATTATTATTATTATTATTATTATTATTATTATTATTATTATTATTATTATTATTATTATTATTATTATTATTATTATTATTATTATTATTATTATTATTATTATTATTATTATTATTATTATTATTATTATTATTATTATTATTATTATTATTATTATTATTATTATTATTATTATTATTATTATTATTATTATTATTATTATTATTATTATTATTATTATTATTATTATTATTATTATTATTATTATTATTATTATTATTATTATTATTATTATTATTATTATTATTATTATTATTATTATTATTATTATTATTATTATTATTATTATTATTATTATTATTATTATTATTATTATTATTATTATTATTATTATTATTATTATTATTATTATTATTATTATTATTATTATTATTATTATTATTATTATTATTATTATTATTATTATTATTATTATTATTATTATTATTATTATTATTATTATTATTATTATTATTATTATTATTATTACTATTATTATTAGTATTACTATTATTATTAGTCTTACTATTATTATTAGTCTTACTATTATTGTTACTATTATTGTTACTGCTATTGTTACTGCTATTGTTACCGCTATTGTTACCGCTATTGTTACCGCTATTGTTACCGCTATTGTTACCGCTATTGTTACTGCTATTGTTACTGCTATTGTTACTCCTATTGTTACTCCTATTGTTACTGATATTGTTACTGCTATTGTTACTGCTATTGTTACTGCTATTGTTATTGCTATTGTTACTGCTAATTGTTACTGCTAATTGTTATCGTTATCGTTATCGTTATCGTTATCTTTATCATTATCGTTATCGTTGTTATCGTTATCGTTATCGTTATCGTTATCGTTATCGTTATCGTTATCGTTATCGTTATCGTTATCGTTATCGTTATCGTTATCGTTATCGTTATCGTTATCGTTATCGTTATCGTTATCCTTATCGTTATCGTTATCGTTATCGTTATCGTTATCGTTATCGTTATCGTTATCGTTATCGTTATCGTTATCGTTATCGTTATCGTTATCGTTATCGTTATCGTTATCGTTATCGTTATCGTTATCGTTATCGTTATCGTTATCGTTATCGTTATCGTTATGGTTATTGTTATTGTTATGGTTATTTTTATTGTTATTGTTATTGTTATTGTTATTGTTATTGTTATTGTTATTGTTATTGTTATTGTTATTGTTATTGTTATTGTTATTGTTATTGTTATTGTTATTGTTATTGTTATTGTTATTGTTATTGTTATTGTTATTGTTATTGTTATTGTTATTGTTATTGTTATTGTTATTGTTATTGTTATTTCTATTATTAGTGTTGTTGTTGTTGTTGTTGTTGTTGCTGCTGTTGTTGTTGTTGTTGTTGTTGTTGTTGTTATACACTTATATATATATATATATACACATTATATATTTGTGTGTAATAATTCAATAAAGGATAAAAAAAATTTAAACTATTGTGTTCGTTTTAATACACATCACTTTAATCATTTCAATTAAGAAAATATGTGTTCAAACTTATTCCGTCGTCTATATTTAAAAATAGTGTTCATTACATTCCATTTATGCCGTATTTTTAAACCGAAAACCGAAAAGTGCAATCCTTCGCACTTTGCACGGATGCACCTCTTTTTATTTGAAACATATGAAACATTCAACTTAAATATTGTACTTTTAAAAAATATTCACCCTTTTTATTCTGTATTTAGTTAAACCGAAAACCGAACATCATGATTTTTAATATTTAGTAAAATACCTTGTATTTGTTTTCACTCTTCATGTTCATGATATAAATAAATAACTTAGAAATATGAAAAAATGGTTAGCATATGTAACATTTTAAGTTTCACACATTTCATACATTCAATATGTCAATGTAAGTTAATTTACCTCCGTCGTATTGGATATTGCTAAATTTGTGTTAGATGCCACACATGATGATTCTGATTCTCCACGATCAACAATACCATCAACATTATCATCACAGTAGCTTCTTCCAGCATGGTTGTAAAACAGTGATGAAGGATTATCATGCAATGCTTCGTAATATGAATTTTGCGCAGCTCTAAGAGCAATGAGACCAAAGGGCCCATCAATGCTCTCCTCCTCCTCCTCCTCCTCGAGTAGAATTTGGGTAATGTCTTTTTGCACTGGATCAAAGTTGGAAGCAGTAATACCATTCAAGGCGTGCTTTCTCACCCTATTATCCATAACCTATGCCCCATATAGAATTGAAGATGGGTAAACAAACAACAATAGATATAATAATATTTTGTATAATAATACTAATAATAGTAAAAAAAAATACCAATAATAGTAATATTTTTTATCCCGGTGAGCAAACCACTCATCACTCAGATAGATGCCGATGAACATTGTGCTTCATTAAGAAAGTACTACTAATAGTAATAATAATGATGAATTTAATAATGAAGGCATCTTCCATATATAACTTGTCTTTAATGTAGTGTATACACACACAGGGGATGGTTCAAATACAAAGACCTCTTCCCATGCAAAGTGAGAATGAATCTTGTGCATTCATTTCCACATCTAATGGCTCAAATAAGCCAAAAATGCACAAAATTCGACCAAAATCACAGTGGCAGTTTCGTAAATATGTTGCACTTTTTCGCCACCGTGAAAAAGTGCAACAGAAACACGAAATAGTGCAAGCGAAAATGAAAAAGTGCATATCTTCGCACTTTGCACGGGAAGATGTCTTTTTATTTGAACTCTTCCATACACACACACACACACACACACACACACACACACATGGGAGGGTTTAAATACAAAGAGGTCTTCCCATGTAAAGCGACAATTAATCTTTTGCATCCGTTTTCAGATCTAATGGCTCAAAATGAGCCAAAAATGCACTAAATTTGATAAAAAACGCGGTGACAATTTCGTAATTAAACAGAAGTTTTCTGTCATCGTGAAAAAGTGCAACAAAAACATAAAATAGTGCAACACGCTGAGGAATAAGTGCAATCGTTCTCACTTTGCGCGGGAGCACTTCTTTTTATTTGAACTCTTCCCACTTAGTCCCATTTAAATTACCTTTTATCGAGTTACATATGAAACATTGAACTTAAATATTGTTTAAAAAATATTTACCCTTTTTATTCTGTACTTAGTTAAATCGAGAACCGAACAACATAATTTTTAATATTTATTAAAATACTTTGTAATTGTCTTCACTATTCATTTTTAATTATGATATAAATAAATAACTTAAAAATATGAAAAATATATGGTTAGCATATGTATCATTTTAAGTATCACACATTTCATACATTCAATATGTCAATGTTAGTTAATTTACCTCTGTCATATTGGATATTGCTAAATTTGTGTTAGATACCACACATGATGATTCCGATTCTCCAGGATCAACAATACCATCAACATTATCATCACAGTAGCTTCTTCCAGCATGGTTGTAAAACAGTGAGGAAGGATTATATTGCAATGCTTCGTAATATGAATTCTGAGGAGCTTTAAGAGTAATGCTCTCCTCCTCCTCCTCCAGTAGATTTTGGGTAATGTCTTTTAGCACTGGATCAAAGTTGGAAGCAGTAGTACCATTCAATGCATGCTTTATCACCCTATTATCCATAGCCTATTATCCATATGGAATGGAAGATGGGTAAACAAACAACAATAGATACAATACCAGTAATATATTGTATAATAATACTAAAATACTAATAATAGTAATAATTTTTACCCCGGTGAGCAAACCACTCATCACTCAGATAGATGCTGATGAACATTGTGTTTCATTAAGAAAGCACTAATAATAGTAATAATAATGATGAATTTAGTAATGAAGGCATGCATCTTCTATATATAAGTAGTCTTTAATGTAGTATATACATCTAGGATGAAGATTGTATGCAACCCGATGAATATACCCACAAATCTGCAATGAATTGCTTCATATAAAGTGGGAAAAACTGCATTGATCGAGAAATAGGTACATACCCACCACGTTATCCTCTCATTACCCGCCCCATTTTTAGTTTTATTTGGATAATAGACTTTTGGAGTACATACAATTTGATCATGTAATATTTTTTGTTTTAAAATCTGATTTAAGTACTTTTAAGCTTTAGTTCATTTAGGTGGCCTTCTTCGTCTTGTGGTGTACAAGTGACTTTTCATGTTAAAAATAATCTCTCACAAGGGGTTGAGCCAGTGGTCAGCCGATCCCCCTAAAAGTTTGAGAATATAGAACTGTGAAATACCTCCAATTTGATATTTTATGCCTTTCGTAACTTATTACGAGTAAAATGTCACGACTCCTAGAAAATTAGCACTTTCAAAATTTGAAATGAATAAAATTTAATGCGTGATATTAATAATATTCTCAAATTTTAAAAATAATGTATAATTTACTCATTACTTACATGAAGTTTACAATATATGTATATATATATAGAGTCCCGTTCTTGTCCAGCCGGCCTGACGGGATGCTCCGTCCGGCCGAGGGCATTTCGGGCACTTCCCGGTGGAATTTTTTGATGAAATTTTTTGAGCATGTTCTTCATGAAGTCTAGTTTATCCATACCAAATTTCAGCTAAAAATTCAATCGGGAAGGCACTCAAATAATTTCTTGAAGTTAACTGGGCAGTTTATATGTATGAACTGCCCAGTTAACTTCAAGAAATTATTTGAGTGCCTTCCCGATCGAATTTTGAGCTGAAATTTGGAATGGATAAACTAGACTTCATGAAGAACATGCTCAAAAAATTTCATCAAAAAATTCCACCGGGAAGTGCCCGAAATGCCCTCGGCCGGACGGCGGTTCCCGTCAGGCCGGCTGGACATGAAAAGTCCTCTATATATATATATATATATATAGAGGGCTGTTCTCATCAGGCCGGCCTGACGGGCTGCCCCGTCCGGCCGAGCCCGTTTGGGCACCTTCCCGGTGGAATTTTTTGATGAAATTTTTTGAGCATGTTCCTCATCAAGTCTAGTTTGTCCATACCAAATTTCAGCTCAAAATTCGATCGGGAAGGTCGTCAAATGATTTTTGCAAGTTAACTGGTCCGGAAAATACATATTCCGGACCAGTTAACTTGCAAAAATCATTTGACGACCTTCCCGATCAAATTTTGAGCTGAAATTTGGTATGGACAAACTAGACTTGATGAGGAACATGCTCAAAAAATTTCATCAAAAAATTCCACCGGGAAGGTGCCCAAACGGGCTCGGCCGGACGGGGCAGCCCGTCAGGCCGGCCTGACATGAAGTTTTCTCTATATATATATATATATATATATATATATATATATATATATAATAGTGATGAGTTCAAATGAGAAGACATCTTAACGTGTAAAATGAGAATTAATCTCAGCCGTCCAAAGTGTCTATCTGATGCACAATAACCCCTATCTGATGCACAATAACCCAATAGACCTTATTTGAAGTGCATCAGATAGGGGTTATTGTGCATCAGATCGACACTTTGGACGACTGAGATTAATTCCCATTTTGCACATTAAGACTTTTTTTTATTTGATCCGAATTCTATACACACACACACACACACACACACACACACACACACAAATGTTCAAATCAGGAGTTCCTGACCGGAACCGCCGTCCGGACCGCGGCGTTTGGCCGCCTTCCCGGTGGCTTTTTTTGATGAAATTTTTATGACATGTTCTCCATCAAGTCTAGTTTATCCACAAAACAATTCAGCCAAAAACTCAATCGGGAAGGTCGTCAAATAATTTTTACAAGTTAACTGGTCCGGAATATGTATTTTCCGGACCAGTTAACTTGCAAAAATCATTTGACGACCTTCCCGATTGAATTTTTGGCTGCATGTTTTTGTGGATAAACTAGACTTGATGGAGAACATGTCATAAAAATTTCATCAAAAAGAGCCACCGGGAAGGCGGCCAAACGCCGCGGTCCGGACGGCGGTTCCGGTCAGGAACTCTTGACCGGATCATTACTCATATATATATATATATATATATATATATAGAAAAGATCCTGTCCAGACGTCCGGACAGGAGCCGCCGTCCGGCCGGCGGCGTTTGGCCGCCTTCCCGGTGGAATTTTTTGATGAAATTTTTATGGCATGTTCTCCATCAAGTCTAGTTTATCCACAAAAAAATTCAGCCAAAAACTCAATCGGGAAGGTCGTCAAATGATTTTTGCAAGTTAACTGGTCCGGAATATGTATTTTCCGGACCAGTTAACTTGCAAAAATCATTTGACGACCTTCCCGATTGAGTTTTTGGCTGAATTTTTTTGTGGATAAACTAGACTTGATGGAGAACATGCCATAAAAATTTCATCAAAAAATTCCACCGGGAAGGCGGCCAAACGCCGCCGGCCGGACGGCGGCTCCTGTCCGGACGTCTGGACAGGAGCATTCCTCTATATATATATATATATATATATATATATATATATAGACAAAAGTTCATGTCCGGAATTCCGGACAGGAACCGCCGTCCGGACGGCGGCGTTTGGCCGCCTTCCCGGTGGAATTTTTTGATGAAATTTTTATGGAATGTTCTCCATCAAGTCTAGTTTATCCACAAAAAAATTCAGCCAAAAACTCAATCGGGAAGGTCGTCAAATGATTTTTGCAAGTTAACTGGTCCGGAATATGTATTTTCCGGACCAGTTAACTTGCAAAAATCATTTGACGACCTTCCCGAATGAGTTTTTGGCTGAATTTTTTTGTGGATAAACTAGACTTGATGGAGAACATGTCATAAAAATTTCATTGAAAAATTCCACCCGGAAGGCGGCCAAACGCCGCCGTCCGGACGGCGGTTCCGGTCAGGAATTCCTGACCGGAAGAGTACTCTATATATATATATATATATATGTGAAAACTCCGACAAGCGGTGGTATTTTTGGCTCAAAGTTTTTGTGCATGTTCCTCTTCAAGTCTAGTTCATATATACCAAATTTGAGCAAAAAATTCAATCGGGAAGGTCATCAAATGATTTTTGAAAGAAAACTGCATTTTATATGTATTTTTCGGACCAGTTTTCTTTCAAAAATTATTTGATGACCTTCCCGATTGAAGTTTTTGCTCAAATTTGGTATAGATGAACTAGACTTGATGAGGAACATACACAAAAACGTTGAGCCAAAAATACCACCGGTTGTCGGAGTTTTCACGAGTTAGCATGGGAGAACTAGTTAGTATGAGATCTCAGCCCTATATATACATACATATATATATATATATATATATATATATATATATATATATATATACATATATATATACATGGGAGGGTTCAAATTCAAAGAGGTCATCCCATGCAAAGTGAGAATTAATCTTGGGCATTCATTTTTCAGATCTAATGTCTCAAAATTAACCAAAAATGCACTAAATTTGATTAAAAAAACATGGTGGCAATTTCGTAAATAAACATAAGTTTTCTGTCATTGCGAAAAAGTGCAACAAAAACATGAAATAGTGCAACACGCTGGGAAATAATGGCAATCATTAACACTTTGCACGCACTACAAAAAAACATCGAAATAGGCACGGACTTTGCACGGATTGGGCAAGTTTGGCACGGACTGTAACTTATTTTTGGCACAGCGTCGTGCCAAATAGCTGGTGACAAAACGACTTTGCCACGGAATTTGGCACGGATTTAACGCATCCATGCCAAATCCGTGTCAAATACCCTATGAATTTTGACAAATCCGTGCCAAAGCTCCGTGCCAAATTCGTGCCAAAATTGTTGTTTTTTTGTAGTGACGGGAGCATTTCTTTTTATTTGAACTCTCCCATTTAGTCCCATTTAAATTACCTTTTATCAAGTTACATATGAAACATTCAACTTAAGATTCGACCTCTTTGAGTCATTTTTCTGGCTCCGCCATTGACTCTCACTTAAGTTAATAGCTAGTCGTGACTGTACTCGTTTCACATTAGATCGAGTTGTTATGATATGGATAAAAATTACATGATGCATAAAGTGGTGGTAAGAGGCAGGTACAAATATATCAATAATTAACGAGTAGGTATGGGCCCGGAAAACCGAAAACCGAATCAAATTAAACTGAACCGTAGCCAAATAAAACCGAACCGCTAAGTAACCGAATGTAAAAAACCGAACCGAATCGAAGTTATTTGGTTCGGTTTTGATTTTTACCCTTCAAAACCGAACCGAACAAACCAAACTATTTAAAATATGAAATTTCTATGTTAATTGTTAAGCATTAATTTTAATTAACCTTAATATCATCAATAGTCTTTCGTTTTCTTGTCTTAGAGAAATAATGTTTGTGTTATGTTTAATTTAATTTAGTTTATATATTCACTTATACATTCATTGTCTGTAAAATTTGTGTTATTTGATGCTATAACACAAATTAACACAAATAATGTTTGTGTTATGTTTAATTTAATTTAGTTTGTCTGCTTCTGCTCTCTTATCGGCATGAGGCAAGGGCGACGAAGACGGGGATGACCAGGGTAGTCAATGTGGCGACGATCTGCGGCGATCGCGATGCCCTTGTATGCTTGATGCGTCCGTCAAAGCAAAGAGATCAGAAGCTGAGTTCTGGGCATCGAATTCGAAGTCGAAATGGGAGGGATAGGTTAGGGAGAAGCTGAATTGATCGTACAGAATTCTAAATCGGAAGGATGGGTTAGGCAGTTAGGGTTCCAGGGACATTAAAGTCAATTGAAGCAATTTTCAGTTAGTTTTTAAGAAACCGGACCGGGAAACGACACGGCCACGTGACCGGATCACGGGTCAACCTAGACTCGGTCGAGTCAACCCGGTCAACGCCATAAAATCGGTCAACCATATAATAATAAACATATAATTTTATATAAAATTAAAAGAAAAGGTATAGTAGTTATTTCATAATAATCAACTAATGGTAATATTTACTAAGCATTTAAAAGTTAAAACAGTCTCACAATATTCCAAAATACCATTTTGATCTTATTAAAGTATATAATATAATGATACACCATATTTGTTATTTGTATTGTACATTTATTGTATAATTTGACATGATATTTATTCTTCAAAAAATAAGTAGTATATAAATATATTGCATATTTTTTTCTTTTTAGGGTATTGAAATCGGAATTTTATTGGTTAAAAATGATTTAAAATTTTAAAAAAAATACTTTTTAGGAAAAATCAATCAAAACTCGGGTTTTTGAGTTTGTTGGGTTTCTGGGTCCGGGTTTGGACCGTATTTTTCTGGGTTGGCCGGGGTTTTCCGTTTTTTGACAACTTCCGGGTTTTTAACTAACCGAACCGGGTTTTGGTCCAGGTCACCGGGTGCCGGTCGACCCGGCAGGTCCGGGTCGGTTTTTTGAACATGGGGTTTTTTGTCCAAACAGAATTGAGCCTTATTTTTGTCCTTTCATAAGTTGGGAGTCTAATTTTTGTCCTTCAACATTTTTTCGTTTATTTTAGCTCCAAATAGATTTCTATTTAGTTCTCCACCATACTCTATATATATATATATATATAAAGATGCCTAGAAACTTTTGGAAAACTTTTAGCTCCAAATAGATTTCTATTTAGTTCTCATTATTTCACATATTATACGAATTTAAGCGGATATCTTTTTCAGAAATGCATATATTAACGTGCACACGCCATTTCATTAGATCGAGCTAGTATTCGTGCACCCCATGCTATGGGGCGGTATATCGATTTGGTTAGCCGAATCCCTATGTTCCATATCAAAGTGAATTAAATAGAACATGAATCAAATCATATGCAATAAATTTGATATAATATCTTCCAAAATGTATTAAACAGATCAATACCGAAAGAAACCCCAAAGAAAGCAAACTCAATTAAAAAGGTTCAATAAAATCTCCTACTCCTTATACTAGCGTATATTATTAAAAAAAACACAAAATTAAACCAAACCGACGAACCAATACCTAGCATGGTTTCTTTCTTATAAGTATATACTAGCGTCTTTTACGCGCAATGCGCGAGAGTCAATGCCCAACAATACAAACCACCTTTAACAATGGTCAATTGTAATTTATTCAAGAACAACAACATTTCTTAATAAACTCTCAAATTTAACTGAAGAATGTGTCAGTCAATCAAAATATGTTGATATTCCAATCGACTATTAATTGTTATGATATATATGTTGTTAGTCAGTACATATAATAAACATCATCAATTGACTTTGTTCTTTGAACTAAATAATTAAGATTGTAGATAAATTCATATGTACCCTGAGTTTATAACAAAATAGCTAAATTGACACGATACAATAACGAAGTTGAGCCTTAATTTAAAAGGTGTTATAATTTGTATATGTCGCTTCTTCTGAGTCTTCTTTTAATTTGTTGTGACAATTTTATTTATCTACTATATTGTTTAGAATATTAGTATTATCAATCAAGATGACAAATTTAGGTTTTTAATGTTTTTTCGAGTTTCACTTTGAATGATATATGAATCTTTTTTTTGTACTTCAATAGATTTTTTTTTGTGTTTTTGTCAATTAACGTGGTCAATAATTATTTGAAAATAAATTTGTAGTTTCGGGCAATTTAATTTGTAATTAATATAACTCCTATAAAGGTTAGAAGTTAGAACCAACAATATTTATGTATAAAATCTTTAACATTAGTTTATTTTATCAGTTTAACCATTTCAAGCAAACCTTTAAGAGGTTAATTAATCACTTTTAAAAAAATCTAAATCATTTTAAAAGTATTCTTTATTTTTCAATGTGCATATCAATTTGTAAATAATGATTCTTCATAAATACGAGTGGTTAAATACACATTTTCAATCTTTATAAACCTACAGTATGGGCCATTATATTATTCTCAAAAAGGAAAAAACGTACGGAATATGATTATATCTTTCTGCAGCCGACTATGGAGTATGGACTATGGAGTACCTTTTATTGAAGCAGCCGTCAATAACTGGTAACGACGGTAGGACATTTTTGTCCATCAAGATTAGGGTATAATATTTTAATAGCAAAGTACACGCTCTCATACACCAAAAGTATTGACACAATTGAAGAATACTAACCATCACTCACATTTATATGGTTTTTAGATTTTAGATATCTTCCAATCCGTTTCAAATGGAACTGTACCAAAAATTGATAAAAATCCAATGGAACTCATATGTAGGGGCGAAACTAGGGGGAGCGAGTTATACTGCTCCGCACTATACACACACAAGTTGTTCAATGAGGGCATTTGTGTTGAGTACTTGAGGATTTAGGTTCAACTATTTTAATACTGTATGGTTTCAGGGCACTCCAAGTGGCAGACTTAGGGAGTGTTTGCAACTGCTTAAAAAAAGCACTTCTCAACTTTTGGCTTTAAAAAGCACTTATTTACCAAACACTACTAATTTTTACTTTTTCTCGGCTTGCGTGTGAAAAGTGTTTTTCCCTTTTCTATTACACAAAAAGTACTTATTTTACCAAACACTACCAACTTTTACTTTTCAAAATCACTTTTTTCTCAAACACTATCAACTTTTACTACTAATCACTTTTTCCTTACATCTCCTAAAGTGCTTTTTTTTTAAGCAGAAGCAGTTGCAAACACTCCCTTAGTAATCATGTTTTGGGTGTTCAAAATCATACATTTTCTCCTTACCACACTAATAAATAAATTATTTTGAAATCCATGCATATTTATTCCGATGGTGTATGTTCTATTTTTAGGTGTTCATGTGAATAGAACACATCCGCCACTGCCGCCCCGCACTCCCGACTTGGAGTGAGCGATCCCACCTTGTGAATAAAGTAAACTCTGAATAGTTCTAAACAAAATCAAATTTTGAGCAAATTCATGAATATTAATTAGTGCATACCTTAGAGTGAGAAGAGGGATATGCCTTAGAGCCTCGAGGGGAAGCAATGTGAAGTTCTGAGAAACAGACCACAAAGACTTGAGATAGAAATGGATGGCAAATACCCGGATCCGTACAGTTGGTTGGCTGAGCTTTAAGAGCAAAAGTGATCTCTCGTTTTCTGACAAAACATGCACCGCTTCCGGAGGTCCCAGAATGACAGTTTTGCTGCCCAGGAATTAATCTCTTCGCTTCTTGTGATGTGTGCTGCCAATAGTTGTATCTCAGTCCAGTTATGTTTAATTTGGCCGTTGGGACAGGTAATGTGACTCCATTGTTGAAGAAAAAAGTAGCTTCTGTGGATGATATTGAAAAGAGAAATCAACGGAGTCACCAACGTGACTTAGGGAGTGTTTGAAAAAAAAAGTGATTTTGAAAAGTTAAAGTTGGTAGTATTTGGTAAAATAAGTGCTTTTTGTGTAATAGAAAAGGTAAAAACACTTTTCACTTGTCAACTTAAGCGGTTTCTCCAACTACAAGAGATCATGGATTTTGAAATCTGTTGGAGGTATTGGTCCTGTCAAGGCCTCCCTTCCACTTTATTATTGACTTGCACCCCATGTTTACTCCCACTAAGGTATACCTATTTAGTTCTTCTGTTGTGGCCATTCATTGAGTGTTGACTTACCTAATGCTTGGCCCCCTCTCCTTATGGTCCGCTGCATTTCTGTCTGTGTCTGCCCATGAGCCTTTGTCTTTGCATCCCTCGTGACTTGTCTTGATAATTTGCTGGCAGCCTATTATTTATGGAGCTCACTTCTTCCTTGAGAGTGTAGCCTGCCTGAGATATTCTGAGAGTAGTGAGCAGTGCCCTTCTTCTTCTTCTCCATTTCCTTTGTGTGAGAGTGTGAGAGAGAATACCTTAGTGGTAGAGAAGAAGTTTGAAGTTGAGTTTGGTGCTCATTAATACTCCCCGCGTGTTCGTGCTAGTTGCTTCGTATAGTTGTAGCCTTATAAATATTTAAATTGTTTTCAGCGAAAATTTACATTTTCTTTTGTTGCTTATTTTTCTCTGTGAAAATGTCTGCTTATAATCAGTATGGTATGGCTCCATTTAATGGAAAATCTGATTTTAGCATTTGGAAGCAAAAAATTAAATGTATTTTAATACAACAAAAATGTTTTAAAGCAGTTGGCGAAACCTATTTAATTTCTGACACGGAAGATAAAAGGGCTGAAATGAATGAAAATGCATGTTCTGTGATTTATTTGAACTTATCTGACTCTGTGATTAGAAAAGTTGGAATTTTAGAGAGTGCTAAAATTCTGTGGGATAAATTGAATGAACTGTATACTGAGACCTCTTTGCCTAACCGGATATTTTTACTTGAAAAGTTCTTCAAATTTAGACTAGATATGTCTATAGATATTGAAGAAAATCTAGATGTTTTTACCAAACTTATTTCAGATATTAAGTTGTGTGGTGATAAACATATAGATGATTATTCCCCTATTGCTCTTTTAAATGCTATTCCTGATTCCTTTGGTGATGTGAAATCTGCTATTAAGTATGGTAGAGATAATGTGACTCTTGACATTGTGGTAAATGGTCTTAAGAGTAAGGAATTAGATTTAAAACAGATGGGTGAGGGTAGAAAATCCGAGGAAGTTATGCATGTGAGGGGTAGAGAAAATAATAGTAGACGACATAGATCTAAGTCTAGGTCTAATTCGAGGCGTTGCTATTATTGTCATGAATCTGGTCATTTCATAAGAGACTGTCCTAAATCTAAGAAAAATGAGCATAGTGAGCATGCTAATTTGACTACGTGTGTAGATGATTTAGGTGATGTGCTTATGATGAAAAATCTATGTGATTATGACTATTTGAGTTCTGTGATATCTGATTCCTTGGGTAAATCAGATTGGGTGGTAGATTCTGGTTGTAGTTTTCACATGTCCCCTATGAAAAATGTTTTTTCAAACTATAGAGAGATTGAGCATGGCTTTGTGTCTTTAGCAAATAAGAAGAAATGCAATGTGCTAGGAATAGGAGATGTATGCCTTAGGTTTTCTTCTGGTTATGTGCTTACTTTGAAGAATGTTAGGCATGTTCCTGAGCTGTGCTGTAATTTGCTATCTTGTGCTTCTCTTGAAAATGTGGGTTTGAAGGGAAAATGGGGAAAGGGAATCATGAAAGTTGTGAAGGGTTGTTTAGTTGTTTTCAAAGCTGAGATGAAGAACAACTTGTATGTTTGTCATGCTGAACCCGTACTTGATTCTGTGAATTGTGTGCCACCCTGTGTGCTAGGAAAACAGTCTAGAGTTGGTTTTCCTGATCTACCTAAGTGTACTGATGTACTTGATTGTATTCATGCTGACTTGTGTGGTCCTTACAGTGTTTCCACTCATGGTGGGAAAAATTATTTTCTGACGTTAATTGATGATTTTTCAAAGAAAGTGTGGGTTTTGTTGATTGAGAACAAATCTGAAGTTTTTGATAAGTTTAAAAACTGGAAAACCCTTGTTGAAAAACAAACCGGTAAGAAAATTAATTTTTTAAGGACCACGGTCAGTTTTGATTTCTGTGATAGTCAGCTTGGTGATTTATGTGATACTTGGGGTATTTCTATGCATAAGTCTGTTCCCTCCACACCCCAACCGGATGGGATTGCTGAGAGGATGGTTAGAACTTTATTAGAGAGGGTGAGGGCTATGTTAGCTTCATCTGGGCTCTCTAATAAGTTCTGGGGGGAAGCTATTTGTTATGCTGTTGATTTGAGTAATCTGTCCCCGTCTGTTCCCTTAGGAGGGAAATGCCCTGAATCTGTGTTCATGGGCAAACCACTTAACTTGCCAAATTTGAGAGTGTTTGGTTGTGCTGCTTATGTGAATCGTGTGAATGATAAATCTGAACCTAGGACTAAGGAATATGTTTTCTTAGGATATCATGATTGCATGAAAGGTTATAGGCTTTGGTGTAGGAGTGAAACTTGCTTCAATGTGTTGATGAGTAGAAATGTCATTTTTGTTGAAAATGAATTTCCTTGCCTACTTGTTTCTCCTGATGTTGCTCCAAATGAGGTGGAGCATTTGCCTGATGTTCATTCTGATTTACTTGTTGAAACCGAACCCAAATTTGTGGATGAAAATGTTTTTCATGATGAAAATAAAGAAAATAATATTTCTATTAAGGTGGAGCATGATATGAATGTTGTGTGCAATATGCTTGAGTTGCGTGATTGTCATGTTATTAGAGATAGAGACATTAGGAAGCATGAGAGAAATAATATGTGCAATGTGTTTGACTATATTTCCTCTGAGTTTGCTTTACATGTGCTTAATTCTCTATTAATTAAAATCTTTGTGATATTTGGTATGCTATTTTCTTTGTCTTTTGAAAATGTGATACCATGTGATTATGTGAGCTCCGCCTGTGCTAGTTATAGAAATACTATTGTTTCTTTTATTTTCTGTGTACTTGCTTTGTGTGGTTGTTGGATTAGTTGGAATCCCCAACTTCTCCCGGATGCTTGCTTGCGTGGTCTATTAACATGTGTTGTGCTTGTTAATAGTTTTGTGATGGTTTTGGTTCTGAACTCGAGGACCGATTGGTAGAGTTCAGTCCATCGTGAAGTGGGTTCGCACGGTAAGCTTGGTCCGAAAGGGAACTTTGGTTCTCATCTATTACTTGTATGATCGCAATGATGTACTTGTAATAATCCGGCGATGATGAGTCTCCTCACAACTTTGTATTGCTACTCTACACCACTTAGGACCAATAAGGTGGAGAATGTTGGAGGTATTGGTCCTGTCAAGGCCTCCCTTCCACTTTATTATTGACTTGCACCCCATGTTTACTCCCACTAAGGTATACCTATTTAGTTCTTCTGTTGTGGCCATTCATTGAGTGTTGACTTACCTAATGCTTGGCCCCCTCTCCTTATGGTCCGCTGCATTTCTGTCTGTGTCTGCCCATGAGCCTTTGTCTTTGCATCCCTCGTGACTTGTCTTGATAATTTGCTGGCAGCCTATTATTTATGGAGCTCACTTCTTCCTTGAGAGTGTAGCCTGCCTGAGATATTCTGAGAGTAGTGAGCAGTGCCCTTCTTCTTCTTCTCCATTTCCTTTGTGTGAGAGTGTGAGAGAGAATACCTTAGTGGTAGAGAAGAAGCTTGGAGTTGTGTTGTGGTCTAGCCTAGAGTGGTGTGTGTGAGTCTAGTTAAAGGGTTGGAGACCTGAGCCGGAAAGAAATCGACACCCAACAAAATCGATGGGAGCTACAAGATTATGCATGGTGCAATTTTTTTTACGTAGAAATCCACCAAAATTCATTAAAGTCCATCTAAATACTCCTAATACTCTCTCCGTCCCGAAAAGGTTGGCCAAATTTCCTTTTTTGAATGTCCCAAAAAGATTTGTCATTTCCATTTTTGAATATGTGGCTAAATTCAACCACACAGTTTTTACTTTATTAATCCACATGAAAGTCAACTTTGACCAACCTTTTTGGGACGGGGGGAGTAATAGAAATCATGGAATGTTTGAGAACACCCTGATTTTCATAGATTCCACAAAAATCCAAATTGGGAACAACTAAATTCTGACGGAATCTATTAAAATCCTCCAAAATCCATATTGGGGACACCCCTTAGATAATACCAAACACACACTAATGTACTTACTAGTTACTACTCATGAAACATATTAACAAAATTAATCCCCAGGTAATAACAATTAAAAATTTCAAAAGAGAAGTATTACTCCCTCCGTCCCGAAAACAACCTCCCGGTTTGACTTTCACACACTTTTAGAAAATAAATTTGACTTTACTGTAGAGTGCACTGTTTTGCACTGTTTAAACACTGTTTGACACTGTTTAAACACTGTTTGGCACTGTTTAAACACTGTTTATCACTTTTTTTATGTAGATAATTTGCCAAATAAGGAAAGTATTGAAGTGGGAAGTTAATTTTGGGACATCCATTTAAGGAAAGTGGGAAATTGTTTTTGGGATGGAGGGAGTATATTTTTATATCTTAAACATCAATAATTTATGCCAAGCACCCTGTGCTTTGATGACATCAGTGTAACAGTCATCCCAGTTGAAGATGTTAGCATTTAACATAACAAAGACTATAATATGTAAGAAGCTGCGCACAAAAACATGAATAATTTTGCCAACTTTCATCATGATAAAAAGCGGACGTCTTTCTATAGCATGCAGGTTTTTCGATCTCATCTGCCGAGTTTTTGTTGGTGCGGCGTTTTTTCGCCAAGCTTTTGAGTTTTTGTTTAGATTGTTGACTCTATTAATACGGAGTAGTTAA